AAGTAGTTAATTACAAAACCTATAGTCATATAAATTATGATATAATTTTATTTTCTTTTGTTTTTTGTTTCACTGAAAGGTCTACCAAGTCTTGATTACAAAAGTAAAAGATAATCATTTTTCGGACCGATACAAATTCAGTTATTATGATTCTAATCTTATCTTGTCGAGAGAAGCAAAAACATTAACTAGCTTGGTGACCCCGCTTCATCGTGAGTAAATATTTTTATTTCTGATAAAATATTATTTATGTAGATTTTTTGATGCATTTTAGTAATTCAAAAAATATAATAAATTAAAAAAATTATGTACATATATAATCAAATAAACTAAGAATTATATGTGTTAATAAATTAATAAAAATTTATTAATGATACTTAAAAATAAAAATTGAAAAATCGAGAGATAAATATAGATCAAGATATTAAATCTTGAAAAATAAAACATTAAATTAACTGGATGAAATAAAAAAATAACATGCAAGATTATACATATTAAAAATATTATAATTGAATGAAATAAAAAAATAATATGCAAGATTATACATATTAAAAATATTATCTAAAAATAAATATTTATTTTTTGAAAAACATAGTTTATTTATATAAAAGATAAAAACAAAACCATAGATAAATAAGAAAAATCACTCCAGAAATTAAACACAATAAAAAAATTAATATTTTTTTGAAAGGGCTCTTGAATAAAATAAAAAAGAGGAGGTTTTATTTATGTTTTTGGTTTTTTAATTGGCTACATCACTTTATTTCTTTTCAATAGTATTATTTAAAGTTATATTTTCTGCAACCATAATTATTAAACCTGGCCTAGGGGTTGACTCGAATAAGAAGCTGGGTCTTAAGTTACATATGTTAACTTGGATCAACCTGAAAAAATTAAAAAAATATATTCAATGTTTTAATATTTTATATGAAAAAATTAAGAAACAATCCATGTATATATAGACTATATACGTTATAAACAATTAAGTTTAAAATATTATTTCAAAATATTTTTTATTCCACAGTGAAAAGATACTATCTTATTCTTCTAAAATATTTAACCAAAAGGCTTTTTTATCCCACATTGAAAAAAATATAAAATTTTTATTGTGAATATATAATATATATTCTAAAGGCCTTCAAATTCCATATTGAAAAAATAAAATATTATTCTAATATTTATATAGTGAATTTTTAAATGAGTCAATAATCAACTAAAAAATTATAAAAAAAGAGAGGTCTTTGGGCATGAGAAAAAAATTTTTGAAAGAAAAGGGGGTCTCTACTAGGTCACCTAAGTTTCAAGTTGACCCAACAAGTCAACCGATTTACTTCGGGCCAATTTCAAGCCAAGATTTTGAATGAAACAAACACATTTAAGGTCCTGGTTCACTTGGAAAGATTTTATTTTTTTTGGATATTTTAATATTTTATATGAAAAAATTAAAAAACAATCCATGTGAATATATGCTATACATGTTGCAAATAATTAAATTTAAAAGATTATTTTAAAAGGTTTTTTTATCCCACATTAGAAAAGATATTATTTTATCGTTTTAAGTTGAAGTGTTTAAATAAAAAAAGGTTTATTATCCCTCATTGAAAAAATATAACTTTTTTCTTGTAAACTTGGAATATATATATTAAAGAAATTCAAATCTCACATTGAAAAAATAAAATATTTTTTTAATATTTATATAGTAAATTTTAAAACAACTTAGTAACTAACTGAAAAGATATATATAAAAAAAGGGTATCTAAGTAGAAGAAAAAACACATTTGAAAAAAAAAAGTCTCATCAAGTTTTTGCTTGGTCACCCAAGTTTTAGGTTGACCTGGCAGATCCACAGATTTACTCTAGGTCAATTATTGGCCTGAATTTTTAATGAAAGAAACCCGACCAAGATTCTAAGTATCGGGTTAACTTGTGAGGCCGGACTTGATGATTGTGATGACAACTATATTAGACTTATAATATTGAATCCTGGTGGTAACATGACCCAATGTTATTGCATTTTGTTGGAGATAAGACCCATTGTAATTAGGTCCTACTAGGTAGCAAGACTTAACACCATTGGGTTCTATTGGCAAGCAAAGTCAAACTCGGTAGCGTTGGATCTGGTAGTAGAGCCAGATTCAAAGACATTAGTTTTTGCTGGGCAACGACCTAACTCTATTGGGTCCATTAAACAGGAAGACCAAATTCTATTGGAAGAAAAGAAATTCAACAAACACAACCTTAAATGAAAAAAAATTATCATCATTTGATTTTTGTACAATATAAAAAAAGTCTCATAAATTCATTATTTTTTTATTATATGAAAAAAATTACATAAGAGAAAAGAAAAGAAATCTAAAGATGTAAAAACATAAAACTAAACATATCTAGATTTGGTTACGAGTAGACCCAATATCTGTTGGAAGTGATCTGCTAACAATTTTTAGCACATAAAATAGAAAAGACAACGCATGTAATATTTTCTAACTAAAAATAGTAAAGACAATGCTCCATGATGTGACAATATTATTCACAGTATAATAAGTTTATATACTGTGAATATATAGTGTTTTTCCTATGCCTTTTAAAATATAGTATAATGTATTAAGATATGATTGGGTTCTTATAGGTTTACATAGTAAAAACTAAGCCTTCTATTATATTTTTCCAAAACTAAATGACTCAAATAAATAAATGACTAAATTCTTGACTAGAAAATTAAAAATAATTTAAGTTCGTGCCAGATTCATTTCAGGAAAGATATTGGAAAGATGAATTGAGCGTAGCTCACCACTCTAGGCTAGCATAACTCAGGCTAATCTATTCTGCTAGGTAGCAAGACTTAACACCATTGGCTTCTATTGGCAAACAAAGTCAAACCCGGTAGCGTTGGATCTGGTAGCAGAGCCAGATTCAAAGACATTAGTTTTTGCTGGGCAACGACCTAACTCTATTGGGTCCATTAAACAGGAAGACCAAATTCTATTGGAAGAAAAGAAATTCAACAAACACAACCTTAAATGAAAAAAAATTATCATCATTTGATTTTTGTACAATATAAAAAAAGTCTCATAAATTCATTATTTTTTTATTATATGAAAAAAATTACATAAGAGAAAAGAAAAGAAATCTAAAGATGTAAAAACATAAAACTAAACATATCTAGATTTGGCTACGAGTAGATCCAATACCTGTTGGAAGTGATCTACTAATAACTTTTAGCACATAAAATAGAAAAGACAATGCTCCATGATGCGACAATATTATTCACAGTATAATAAGTTTATATATACAGTAAATAGTGTTTTTTCTATGCCTTTTAAAATATAGTATAATGTATCAAGGTAGGATTGGGTTCTTATAGGTTTACATAGTAAAAACTAAGCCTTCTATTATATTTTTCCAAAACTAAATGACTCAAATAAATAAATGACTAAATTCTTGACTAGAAAATTAAAAATAATTTAAGTTCGTGCCAGATTCATTTCAGGAAAGATATTGGAAAGATGAATTGAGCGTAGCTCACCATTCTAGGCTAGCATAACTCAGGCTAATCTACAAGGATTGTGAAAACTCAATTCTATCAAATTGCGCATCTTGTGAAACAGGCAGCTGATCTTGGAAAGAAAATCTTATTCCATATTGACTATATAAAACAACCATTTGATTGGCCATGTTATTGTCCAATAAAAAAGAATAGCGAATGAATATTTGTCTCGAAACCTACACGTATGCTTTTGGTATCTTTTATGGAAATTATTGAAGTTTATGGAGAAAAAGAAGAAATAAATGGAGAGAAAAGAAAGAGAGAGAAAAAAAAATTATGGCCGAGCCGAGCTTAGTCATTTGGGTGCGACCTAGACGACTAGGAGCCTTTGACGTGTGGGAATGAATCTGATGAAGAAGTTGAGTTGATGTGCACGAGAAGTTAGCTTATTTTTTCAAAATAATAAAAATTAAAATAATAGTTTTTTATTAACCCAGATCCATTCTAAAAAACCAGAAAAAATCAAAACATGTGTTCTAAAAAAATTTATTTATTTATTTATAAAATATTATTTTTTATATATTTTAAATCATTTTATTATACTAATCTTAAAAATAATTTTTAAAAAATAAAAAAAATAACATTTTAATACATTTTAATATAATTTTTTTAAATAATCATATCTATACTCTTATATAGACACTCTCTAGTTACCTGGCCACACCCACACAACATATTTTTTTATATATATCATGGTATTTGTTTTATGCATCACATGAATTATTGTTTTATTCCCCCAATAAGTAACTATCATGCCAAAAGCAATTTCAAAGTGTAAATTGCATTTTGCTCATGAAAGCTGTAAATTATAATCAAAACTTATTTTTTTATAAATTATTTTCGGTTTATTTTTTTGAAAAAATATATAAAATCCCCAATCACCTAGTTCTCGTACTTCTTTGATTCCTCAAATTTCAAGTCAAATTGATATGTAAAAATTAAAAAAAAAACTTTTTTCTTTAAGTTTATTAAAATCTAATATAAAATATTTAATTTATGATATAAATATTATAACACACCATTAACTTTATTTGGTAATTGTGTCTAATTTAAGAATAGACAAACAAAATTTCTAATTAAAAAAATCAATCAGTCTTAATTCATTATTTTTCTTGCATCAATAAAATCATCTAAATCCATATTTCCAACCCAAATTTCTTTTAAATCTTCAAACCTTCTAGAGCATTTGTTAGAGGCATGGTTTTGAAACTATTTTTTATTTAAAAGTTTAGTAAAATAATTTTTAATATTAATACATTAAAAAATCTAAAAATAAAAAATAATTTAAAATAAAAAAATTTAAAAACAATATTGAAATGTAAAAACTACGCTTTTAGGTCACACATGGCGAAGTTACCCGTACGAAAAAGGGATTTTCGTAAATTCAAACAAATTCCACACCCATTAAATAACTGCCGCATCCCCTATAAATATCCCTCTCCACCCTCTTTTTCTTCCCATTGAAAACCGTTTAGAAAGAGAAACACGCAGCGAGGGGAGGGGGAGAGAGAGAGAAAAAGAGAGTGTGTCTGTGCAGTCAGGCCTGGTAGTGATAGACCAGCAGCAGTGAGAAAATTCACAGGCATTGCTGTTTCTGTCACTCTATCATAATTTCCTGGTCGTCGCAATTGATTTGATTGTTTTGAAATGAGTCGTTTAGGGTTTAAATCCCTGGTTTATCACGGAGAGGTATGTTTGGGAGAACTGGATGTTATTCCGGTGACGGAAAAGGGTTTCTTGTTCCCAAACAACGAGATTCGCATCCATCATATCTCTCAACAAAGTGAGCGATGTCCTCCTCTTTCAATTCTCCAAACAATCTCTCCATTTTCTGTCCGTTGCAAGCTCGAATCGTCTTCTCCTATGGAACAGTCTCATTTGATCAATCTCCATGCCTCTTGCTTCCACGAAGTCAAGGTCTATTGTTTTTCTTTTAATTTCTTTGATTTGTTTTGCCTAATTTTACAGCGTAATTGACTCATTTAGTTAAAAATTTTGTCCTTAATCTTTAGTTTGAGTTAAGAAGGGGAGAAGTGAGAATGCGGTGATCTTGACTTTTTTTTTTTGTTAGACGGCGGTGGTTTTGATTGGAGATGAAGAGATTCATTTAGTGGCAATGCCAAGCAAGCAAAAGAAGTTTCCATGTTTTTGGTGCTTTGCGGTTCCTGTAGGTCTGTATGATTCGTGTTTACGGATGCTCAACATGCGGTGTCTTTCTATTGTGTTTGATCTTGATGAGACACTTATTGTTGCGAACACGATGAAGTTGTTTGAGGATAGGATTGAGACTCTTAGGGGTTGGATTGGACGGGAGCAAGATCCGATGAGGGTATCTGGAATGATTGCGGAGATGAAGAGGTATATTGATGATCGGTTGCTTCTGAAGCAGTATATAGAGAATGATGTTGTTATGGATAATGGAAAGATATACAAGGTTCAACTGGAGGACGTTTTGCGATCATCGGATGGCCATGAGAGAGTTGTTAGACCTGTGATTAGATTGCCAGAGAAAAATATTGTTCTAACTCGCATCAATCCAGAGGTATGATTTGCTTGATGTTGTTTGTTTCTTCCAGTTTTATTACTTTGATTAATTTGTTCCGTGCAATTCTCTACTTGTTTTTTTTTTTTTTATGATATATATTAAAAGTGATTTGTTCCGTGCAATTCTCTACTTTTTTTTTTTTATGATATATATTAAAAGTGTGTTCTAATAGAGAGTATTTGATGTCAACTGGGCGGAAAAGAGTATATCTGCATTTATTACTCAATTTGGAACTATAAATACTATTACACGCTAGTATGGTTTATGAGAGTTTTTCCTTGAGCTATGAGAAGATCAAAACAAGTGCAATTGTTTTCATATTATTTTCTTTCATCTTAATGATTTCATTGGTTCCAATATATCATAACACCTGTGTGTTATTTAGTTTCAAAAGCCTTTTGTTTCCAATACAAAAATGGATGTATTTGCATATTCTCGTTTGATATTTACATATTTTGATTATATGCTTGCATAGCTGTTAAAATTAGACATTTGTTTAGAGAGTTCTCAATTTTCATTTAACAATCCTTGATTTTGGCTAAATCTGGACCATCATTCTTTTGGATCAGTTTGACCTTGTGTGCTTCCTTGAAAGTTTTTGGCTTGGAAGGTTCCATACTTCTTAAGGCACTTAATTTTACTTTTTATCTGGCATTTCAGTGTTGGTTTTCTTGCAATATAGTGGGAGAGTGACTTCTCCTTACTTTGTCATCAGCCATGCATTCTGATTCGCAAGGCAATAAAAGGTTTCTTGTGATTACTGGTAAATTTTTGTTTTTGTTTTTTGTGTAGATTCGTGATACGAGTGTGCTTGTGAGATTAAGGCCGGCATGGGAAGATTTGAGAAGTTACTTAACAGCAAAGGGACGCAAACGGTTTGAAGTTTATGTTTGTACGATGGCTGAAAGAGATTATGCCTTAGAAATGTGGAGGCTTCTTGACCCGGAGGCTCACTTGATAGCTTCAAAGCAACTCTCAGACCGTGTAGTTTGTGTTAAATCAGGCAAGTATAGGATCACTACTATGTTGAAAATATTTTGATTTCTGATTTTGCTTTGAACTTTGTGCATCTTCAATTACCTTTGAAATTTGTAAAATTTTATTGTGAATTATGTTCTGGTGCATCTGGCATATATGTTTGTTTAGTCTCTAGTTTCAAATATGAAAGGCATGGTTCAAAGCCAAAGTTGTCGAAGGTTTTTCAAATTGAAGTGGCACAGCTCATAAACAACCTGCAGTATGTCATGTCAGTCACCTTGCCTTTTACTGATGACCAATAAGAATACCTTTTACTGTAGCAGGCTCCAAGAAATCTTTATTGAATGTCTTCCAAGATGGCATGTGCCATCCAAAAATGGCAATGGTAATAGATGACCGGCTAAAAGTCTGGGAAGACATGGATCAACCTCGAGTTCATGTAGTTCCTGCATTCACTCCTTATTATGCTCCTCAAGCAGAGGTACTAAAAAATATCCATGTGAACTTATTTGTTAAATTTTGTTCCTTTTTCTCACGTTACTTTCCAACTAAATCTTTATTTGGCTCATTCTCTCTATTCTCTAGACAGCGAACGCTGTTCCAGTCCTATGTGTGGCAAGAAATGTTGCATGCAACGTCAGAGGTTGTTTTTTCAAGTAAGAGATGCTAAAATTATACATATGAAGTACTTTTAAGTTACTGTTATTGCATGAGGATTATTTATAACTGCATTGTGACATGTTATGTTTACAGAGAGTTTGATGAGATCTTAATACGAAGAATATCTGAAGTCTTTTATGAAGATGAGGTGAAAAGCTTACCTCCTACTCCTGATGTGAGCAACTACATGATGACAGAGGTATTTGAATTGAGATATTGGGTTCTTCAAGCTGCATTCTGATCATATTCTTAAATTATCAAACAATCATTTTCATGAATTACAGGATAGTGGTTTTGTACCCAATGGCAATAACATTGCTCCTTTTAGTGAAGGAATGAGTGGCATTGAAGCTGAACGAAGATTGCATCAATCGGTAAGTCTTAAAAAATCATGTTGAAGAGATTCATGAACCTGATCTGAATTGGTTGAGAGAAACTCCTGCTTGCCTTAACCTGAGTAATACAGGGTTCATTCTGGATACTGCATGTGCTTCTAACAAATGAGAGCAAAGCAATATTTAACATGTGTGCCTATGAGCAACATGTTACCTGTTTCTCCGGTCGTTTGGCATGTAATAGAACCTGTTAATTTTTCTCAGCTCTGTGCTTAAATATTTTAAACCTTTCAGGATGGCAAGACTGTCATGGAATCGGCCCCACATTCTATTACAAACAGTGCTGAATTGAGAACTGAAATCTCCCAGCCTCATGTGGCAATAAGTCCAAATGTTGCTGGACCAACCTTATTGGCCACACTCTTGCCTTCTCAAAGTATGGAGTTCAGTTGGTCTTGATTTTATTTCTGCTTATCTGTATCATTATAGTACTTAAACTTACATTCCATAATTTAAACCTCTTTATTTCAGAACCTAGTTTACTTGGTGCTCCTGTTAGACGAGATTTAAGGAATCAAAATTCTGGTCAACCCCCTCTTCTTTCTAGAATACCTGCAGCAATACCATTATCCTCTCAACAGCCACAGGGAGGCTGGCTGGTGGAAGAAGATACTAGCAGAGTACAATCAAATAATCGACCTTCAGCGACCGCTCAAGAATTGGATTCTTTAAAATCTGATAAGCTGAGAGGACTGCAGAATCCAATTGCTCATGGTGCATCAGCCTCTGCTCCCTCCAGTTTAGTCTCACATGCTTCAGAATTGAAGGCTGAAGAGGTTTGTCTGAAGTTAATTTAAATTTGTATTTTGAAGCTCTTGCTATTTTTCAATGCATAGGGATCATTTCTAGCATCAGAAACTGAGGAAGAACTTCACTTATTTGCAGGCAATTGCTGGAAATGACATGCATAAACAAATTATTCCTGCTGGAGGTAAGCCATCAAGCATACAAATTTTTTAGTGCTATAATAGTTTGAAGTGCGAAGTGATAGACTGCTTGCTTTGTGTTGAACCATAAGGCCTGCTCATTATATGTAGATATGTATGCAAATCCATCTTTTAATCATATATAGCTACAACTTTCAAACCTTAATGGTTCAGGACTGATTGATCTAACATCGAAATATAGGAGCCTTTTGAGAGACAATACAAGTCTCATAACAGAAAAATTTATCAAACTTGTGGATGTATCATTACATGACATATTGAGAAGCAATGATGAGCCCACTGGTTGCTGTAGTGGGTATGAAGGCCATCCTCATCCATATAATTTTTTTTCTGCAGAGGCTGGCATGTCTCAGAATCATGTGTCTTCTAGTAGCAGAGAGTTCCAAGCTGAAGCTGGGAAACTCAATCTGCTACCATCCCACTTGTCTATTGGAGTGCTGCAAGAAATTGGACGGAGATGCAGATCCAAGGTACTGATTGGTTCTGGGCTTCATCATGGCTGCCTCGCCTCTTTATTTCTACGGATCATTTATCGTCTGCTGATGTGCAGGTGGAGTTCAAATCTGTTGTAAGCACCAGTAAGGATTTGCAATTCTCTGTCGAGGTCAGTTAAAATTTGTTCTCTGCCTACCCTCATGTTTTCTGGTTCTTGATACTCTTTGAATAATTCACAAAAAGTTCATGAGCTTTGAAATTTTATGTTGGTGCAATCATCTGAGAGCTTCAAGGACATAAATTTTTGGTACTGTAATTGGAGTTGAATAAATACTTGAAATTTGTTACCAAGTTATGCTTGCCAATTTTCTGTTCTTCTCCCATTCATTTCTTTCTTGCAATTTTGTTTTCATCAGAAAAATCTTAGATAGATATGATAATATAAATTCAATGGTGTATCCATGTTGGAAGTAGTGGAGTGAGGTCCCCTTGAGTTCTGAAGAAAATTTGTTTGTGGGTTCCAAAATGAAGTGTTTTGCACTGTTCTTATGAAGTTGACCTCAATGAGATTATTGTGAAACTCAAGCAAGTAAATGGTATTTTGTATTTCTAGTTTAAAAACGTTCTTCCAGCCTTGTGAAAGTAGTGTGGTTCACTCTTTTGCTTCTGCTTTTAACTTTTTCCCCGTTTACAGTTTTACTCAGCTGACAGTAACTTCTCCCACTGCTTTGTTGATTTTGTATTAAAACCTGAGTTGCTTTTTTTCTTTACTCTAAAGATTTTTCTCATTCTCTTTGTTAGTTATATACTATTGGCTGTTGTTTTATCCATGTTTTGTGAATTGCGAGGGTAACTTACTATGTGATTTTGAGTGTCCCAACTGAAAACATTCCTGGCGCAACAGACTTGTTGTGGATGAGTCAAATGATGATCATACAGATGTGATGAAGAGAGGATTGCCTTATGATTAGTGCTTGCTTTAAGCTTATATTTTGGGTAAACTATTTTTTAGCCCATCCAGACTTTTGTAAAATTAGACTTTGGTGCTTGAGCTTTTGAAGTTAAGGCAGTACTTATTTTTTGGCTGAAAAAATTCACTTCAAAGGGATCTATGTTTTACGTCAAAAGCTTCCCTGATCAATGATTCAGTGTATCTATCTTTGATCATCTCTTCACCAGAGAAAATTCCATGTCATTTTCTTCACCCGTCTCTGCTTCTCATTGATAACTCCCTATCAACTCTTGGAAGTTTATAAATGCTTCCTACAATTGAGATTAACAAGAGCAGCTGAATTGGTCGTTCCTTTTGAAAGGCCCCCTTGAATAGAAAATTGAGAGGATGAAAACTTGCATCAAACCTTCGGGGCTATTGTGTGGGTTTTAGTAGCTCTGTGGCTAAAGTCCGCTTTTACAGTAATGCTATACATACAAACAATTATACGAAGTTTTTACACAACCTGATGCAGCAATTGCTCTTTCAATGCTCTAATCAATCATTTAATATTTCAGGGATCTACATTTGACCACTTATCATTTTACATATTAGTTTGCATGAACATTTCTTCCTACAACAAAATAATCTCTTCCTTTTGTGTACTTATCTTTTCCTTTTAGCTTGTAGTTTGTAAAATGACTAAGCAATATCATGCTTCTTTTGGACTCCAACAAACTCATTTTGCTGACTTAAATGATTTAGGTATTGTTCACCGGTGAAAAGATAGGTGTTGGAATGGGTAAAACACGGAAGGATGCACAACAGCAAGCAGCTGAGAATGCACTTCGCAGCTTGGCAGGTAAATTTACCCTCTAGCTCATTTCTCTCTCATAAATCTGTGTTTGAGAATTTTTTTTTTCAATTGTTATACTCCTTTTCTTTTGTGCAATGTTGATGAATGTGGAGTTAAATATTAATGTGGAGTTAAATATTGGCATGGTCTAGGTTAGTTGTGTGTGAACTCGTCATTAAATGGTAAGCACGCAAACATTGATTATTTCTATTGTCAAAGAATTGATTTATGTGATAGTTATGCATATTCATATTGGTTGCCAATGGATATGTTAACTGGGTTTAACATGAATTAGATAGGTGCAAGACTTATTATTCTTATCTCAGCATCTCCTTCGCTAGATGATCTTGAATACTGACCCATATGTTTTATAAGAAGGTGCTGAATGTATTTATTGTTCTCAGAAAAATACGCAGCATATGTTTCACCCCATTCTGGTGCCGTGGATGGTGATTTTGATAAGCTTTCTATTGGGAACGAGAATGGATTTGTATGGGACATTACCAGTCCTGAATCAAGTGATCTGGTACGAGAAGATGGTTCAGCTAAAGAACGTCCTTCTGAGGTGCGGATATTTTTATGATGCTTTCAGTACTTGATTTGATTCCTTTGTTCAAAAACATAGGTGATGCTTGGATAAGGGTATGTTGGCAAGAAATTTCCATATTGGGTAGTGGTTATCTGAACAGAAACTACTCCCTTTTGGATTTTGCATTGCACCAAGATGAGGGAGCTAAAACAGTGAAAGGGAAAGCTGGCTTCATGTTCGCCACTGTGGCCTTAACCAGGCTCCAGTTATTCCTGTTTAAGAGGTAAGACTTGGTGGTCAGGCCCATTATCCAAGTACTCCCATGTAGTTGAATCAGCCATTCCGTTCAGAGTTGGTTTACCATTTTATTGTTCTTTTCAATGGGAGTGTCTTTTTACTTCTTTATCTTCCATAATTTTGGAGGCACAATTACTTATTTTAGAATTTGCAAACTTCTCATGTGCCCCATTTTATCACCAGTCTTCTTTAGTTTCAAACACCTCTCTCTGTCTCATAGTCTTTGCTACTTTGGATTCTTTTTTGGCACGAAACTGATTGTGAACTTGAAGGACTAAATATTTTTTAAATGTATAACACAGATTTTCAAGTTAAATGCATTTTCACTTTTGAGATTATCAGAATGGCATAAAACGCCATAAGAACTCCATTTCTAAGACTATACATTGTCTGCATGCCTAATGTGCATCTATTGTATTGTTGGAAAATGATTTGCAGGTTGCTGACGCTGAACTTGTGAATACATCGAATATGGTAAATCAGCAACAGCAGAAACGTGCCAACTCCCCTAGGTAATGTCAAAAGGGCTTCTTCCTTTTATAGCTAATAAATTGTAAATTGACATCATAATAGTGTAGAGGGAGCAGTTTAGACATTTTTTTTTTCAGTTAGTGTTTGAGGAGTGGGATTAGTGTGACTAGCAATTCTGCTCACCAACTACTCTATTTGTATCAAAAGCTCTGTTTTTCAGTCAGTTGAATTTCATTTTTATTGAGTCGTGAAGTGTATTTAATTGAACATGTGGAATTCAACGGGTTCTCTGTAATGGTGAATTCGGTTCTTTGTGGGCATCTTAGGGGTTTTGCTTATTCAGGTGGTTTGGGAGTCATGATGCCTATGCTAAGTCATACATATGCATTGTTCTTGCTTTTCTTTCTTCCTAGAAGGATAATCCATTGAGGGTCCTCCAAGTGACGTTGTGTTTGAAGGATTCTTGTGGGGCCCTGTCCTTGGATTTTTCACACGTGACATCCATATGCACTCCTTGCTGAGCCTTTTTGCCCTGCCTTTCCTTATTCAGTACCTTATTGTGGTATTTCTGTATGCTTTGTTATACTGTATCTACATGGCATGTGCTTTTTTGAATGTCATTCCAACCCATGGAAATGAGATTCATTTGGAATTATAAACTTAGCTACTTTCTGGGCTGCAAGCTGGAAGGAAATAGGAGGGCATGGTACTTCTTTTTCTGGTTTATTTGGTAGTGTCATGACATTTTTGTGCCTTTGTTTGTGATCTCTCACAATCTGTTATCAGATTTTTGTAGAGCATGAATATTTGCCGGCAAGTTGTTTAGTTCTGCTCTTTGTTTTGGTGTGTATCTATTGGCTTAATCTGGTCCGTTTGCATTCTTGTCATGGAAAATTATGGCGCGTCTAGTGTGGAGATACTTTTAATGATGGTAGCTTCCTGCTTCAGTTGCTTATTGTGTAATAATTTTCTGAACTAATCATGCCTTCCTGATATGGTTTGATTTGTCTTTCTAGATCGCCACAAGCTATACCAAGTAAACGGTCAAAAGAAGAACTGTGTGGTTCACAAAGTCTACCCTTTCAGCAATCCAAGAATGAGAGTCACGTATGATAAAAGCCAAGATATTGGGAAAACAATGAATGATTTGAAGGTTTTTGCTTTTCGAATCTAAAATTATGCATCTGAATTTTGCTCTTCTGGAAGGATAGGCACATTGTTATCCTCCTTTGGCTCCCTCCTTTTTGATTTTTGGGGGATGACAAGGGCAGAGCTAGCAAGGATGAGGGCAGAGCTTGGCTTAAAACTCACATGGTGCTGTTCTGGTTGAATCTTCTCTTCCAGTCCCCACTTGTTACAGTAACACTTCTTGTTAGTTGCTTCAGCAGAAATGTGGTTTCTAGTTTTTAGGTGGCCACCGATTCTTTCGCCTCCAGCACCGTTCTTAAAAAATAATTTAGTGCTCTGTCAATTGTAAATACTTCTGATTATTTCTCTGGTGGCAATTGCATATTTTTAAAGCGTTATACAATGACTAATTTTTTGTTTAGCAGTACAAGATGAACACAGCTGTTGCCTATACGGACTGGTCTATGTCAAATCTTGAGAGAGAATATATGCTTGGTTAGCTGGCTTGTTGCCCTCTGTAGTAACGCAATGCCATTCCTCACAGAGCCAGATTTGGAGGCTGAAAAGTTGTATAGCTGTCTCGTCTTAAACCCTGAAATTTGAAGGGGCTAAAGGCCGTTGAAAGAACCTAATCAGCATGTCTAGCGGTCCTTGCTGGGAGAATCAGCAGTACCAAATCTGTTAGAACCTAGTCTATTTCTGTATTTCTGGAACTGTGGCATGTGACTAAGATGCGGAAGTTCCTATGTAGAATTGTGGTAATCAGGCCAGGCAGATTGATCTCGGGGCACAGCTTTTGGCTGGAAGCTTGGAGTCTCGTCCGATACAAAAAATATGCCTGCATTTGGAGCTATTCAGCTTGGGGATTGATCCACCATTTGCTTGGGCATGGAGCTATCCAGTGAGCAGGCCTCGATCTTATTACAAAAAAAAAAAAATATGAAGCTCCCCTCGACGTACGCTTATTTTTGCTTGGTTTCGATTGTAGAAATTCGAGATTTGGATTACAGACCAGACGATACGTCATTGGTAACAGAGCAACATTGTTTCCAGTGCATTGTCATATGGCTATGATTGTGCTTCTCTGCCGCCGCCCCCCCAGAACAATACGCAATTAATTGAAAAATAACTACAGCGAATGGGAGGAGGGACGAGTTCCAGAATCACCACTGACTGCTTACTCTCGAGGTTACCTGCTGTTATAATCTTCTTGCCTAGTAGGAAGTGTTGGCCAATTGCTGAACTTCAGAAAGTTGTGTTTTCCACCATCACAAGGAACCACCATCAATTGGTGCGCAGGATAATTGTCTCGTGGAACCCTAATTATAATTTCTATGATTGCACAGGGAATTAAGCTTTAAAGGTAAATCACCCTTCGACTATACTACCATTATCTGGGCTGCTGTGAAGAGTAATATGTAATTGTTTTTGCTTGTGGAGGGAATAACAGACAGTACAGGAATATTAGCAATGCTTTCACACATTTCTTCAACCTGCAGCATTCAGGAGAAAATAACAGCATCGTTCTTGCAAAACTACCACTGTTCACATCTCTATGTCACACATGATAAAGAATAAGCTGTGCAATGTTTTCACACATTTCTTCAACCTGCAGCACTGTTTTCATCTTTATGTCACACATGATAAAGAATAAGCTGTCACTGTGTACATATTGCATTCTAAAACAATAAATGAACAAAACTTGAGCACTCTAGTGGAATAGATTACAGCAACATCATGGCTTAGTCACAATCGTCTATACACACAGCTGCAATTGTCTCGCTGCCCAGGCCACTTCAAATATGTAGGGCAACTAGGTAGCACAGAATAAATTTTTTTGCTGCTTTCTTGATGCTACAGCAACCCTAAACTGGTTAGCAGCTTCTGTATCCAGTGCAGGTCATTTTGAACAACACAGTTTCTTACAAACACTTGCTTCTTTTCTCCTTTGGCCTGTGGCTTATATACGAGTTCATGGCTGTGCTGCTCCTCATTATCGAGCCCTTTGATTGATTCTTCTTGTTGTGGATTGTCATCAACATCACACTTCACTTCTTTCACCAGTGGTTTGTGTATGATCTCGTTGCTGTGCCGCCGCTCCTCATCGCTGAACCCATCCATTGTTTCTCCTTGAAGCGGTTCATCACCGGCTTCACACTTCTCATCTAACTGAATATTATTAGGACTCGGTTAATAGAGGAGAAGAGAATAATGGGCAGAAATGCCATATACTTATTGAAAGGGTCTCGCAGATCAGTAAATTACAGTTTGCAATAACCTTAACCTGCATGTACAAGTGTCCGAGTAGTTCTAGAGAAGCACTGTGTTGTTTTTTCCTCGAGTATTCTTATTTGTGGATAATTTTTTACTTTCAAGAAGACACAAATTAATGCCAGATTATTAAGTGGAATGAAACCTCTGGAACTGGAGAAATCGGTTAATGGAAATGGAGAACAACTTTATTTCATTTAAAGTAAAATTGGTAGCAGAAACGAAAGGTAAGGATGATATCGAGAGAAACAAGATGTACTATACATTAATCAGGCAGTTACCTCTGGCAAATTGTGATTCTTTTCACGAACTCCAACAGAGGCATCAAAGGCATGGCATCCCTCACCTTCACTGTCAATAGCTGCTTCACTTGGTATCACTGTTGCTGCAGACAAGCCAGTAACCAGAACAGCATCTCCTCCATGAGTAACCAGACTTCCTTGGACATCAGAGTTTGCTGAGTTTATGGCTGTTGGAACATCATCATTTCTGACAACGTCCTCTCTAATCACTGTACTCTTGCTTGATGTAGTTCTCTGTTCTTCCTCCTGGTGACTGGTTCTCTTTTCACCTAACACTGCATTGCTAACATTCACAGCAGAAGCCCCCTCTGAGTCACTGATGTTATCCGCTACAATAGCTAGAGGTTTCTCTTGCACAGGAGAAATGTTATCAGCAACAATTGCTTTCTTGCAAGTCACTGGCGATGGTTTCTTTTCTGGGTTAGAACTCACATCCATGGTAACTGCTCCATTGCTCATATCAGAAACCAGCTCTTCCTTTTGGCAAGTCAAGTCCTCGGCAACAATCAGCGATTCTGGGTTGACAGGAGGTTCCTCACTCCCATTAGCAGATGGTTCTTCCTCTGTTATCTTCTGCAATGCAGCATCTTCCCAATCTTCACAAACTACGATGGTATTACTGGTTTCCCACGTCTGGAGAATTCGATCCGGACCTGGTTGCCAGAAAATCTTCTCAGCAATTCCTTTCAGTATGAACTTGAACTGGATGGATTTTTCAACTGGTATATCCTATATAAACAGTAGAGGCATCAGTAAAGTAACAACATATTATAGATTGTATAGTAGTTTCTGCTTACCATCTCAACAGTCCAAAGATGCCCATCTGACCAGTTCAATGGTATTCCACTTTCAGGATCCCATAATCCCAACAAAGGATCATCTCCTACTATGGTAAATTGCTCTCCAAAGGAGCACTCCTTCCGCAGCTGGAATTTGACATGAACTGTCTTTGATTCATCTGCACTCAGAGATAAGCACGTCTTCTTGAGATCAAGGATTGACGAAAAGATCTCAAGGTCTAAACAAGAAAAGAATTACTCACTTGTTTTTTGGTTTTGAGCATCTTCAGCGTCCAAGTCTACCTAAAGGAAGAAATTAAAACCAGTTCAGATCAAACACTGATTTCAAGTATACCTAAAACAAGTCCGCACCCCATTAACACCTTATAACGTCATCCATCAAAATTTCCTTGGAGAGAAAAATAAACACAAGTAAAGGTTATAGAGATGTGTTTTAAGCATAATTTCTATATTCTTTGATATAATTCTTCTCAAGGACTCTGTTTTCTCTTTTAAAAAATTCTCAAGAAAAAAAGAAAAAAGAAAAAAGAAAAAAGAAAAAAGAAAAACCCTGAGTCAATGTATTCATGAGTATTTTTGGAGAATTAGGAAACCTGAAACTTGAATACTATGATATACACAGAGCGAGAGAGAATTAAAGAAAGGATCACATGCCTGGGACTCTGGTGAGAAAGAAGAAGAAACACGAATTGGACAGATAGGCTTATGCTTCACACATAGCCAATGCAAGAAGCCAACACCATGAACAAGCTTCTTTGATGGCAAAAAACTAACTTCATGTCTCAATTCTCTGGAAGAGAAAACGGGTCTGTTGTCTCCTTTTTTGTCGAGGACGACGTTTGAACAAGAACTTCTTAGGGTTTTCATCACTTGATAATAACAGCAGTCCATTTGCTGCTGCAGGCTGCAGCCGCAGAGACCAGAGAAATAATGGTGGGGAGGATTTGCTTGTTTTGTTCTGTTTCTGTTGATTATTAAGTAATCTGATACAGGTGGTTATGGTGATAATGGTGGTGGGGCCTCTCCAGAGGATAAATGAATATGGAGGCCTGCCATGTGTGGGAGAGTTAAATCTGCCACCCACTCAACCTGAGAATGTAAGCCTTTCGAAATTGAAAAGGCCACCTAAAGATAAATTATAGTAGTAGATTTTAAATTTCAGTCGGTGCTCGCTGCTTTCAACCAAAACCTTAATTTCAGACAATAATATTAAAAAAAAGAGAGGTTTCAATGTGGTCTCCTAAATCCTAATTTCCTTGGAGTGATGGAGGTACTGTAAGTTTCTCAAGGTTCTGTTTCTTTATATAATGCGGTGTGTAGCTGATATTTTATTTTAATTATATATTTGAAAATGTTTAGTTAATTAGAAAATATTATAATTTTATATAGATATCATTAAAAATTCTTTAATTAAAAAAACTATAATTTATAATCTTTTTTAAAACTATTTTTTTAAACTGCAACTTTAAAAGCTACCTAACTATAATACAATATACAAGGAGAAAAAACAAAGCAAATCTCATATATATGCAATTTTAACATGGATAGTGTAATTTTTACTTTTTTATTTCAGTCATCGAACTTTTTTATTTGTAATTTTATCATTCTAAATTATATGAGCATAATTTTATATATTAAGATTTTTTTTTAAATTATAATTATTTCTAAGTTTTTTTTCTCTCTTAATGAAGATAGCCTCTAGAATCCAGAAGAACAAGTTGAATGGTTGAGAAGAAATGAAGAACCTATTATATGAAATTAATGGGTTAGCAAATAGATGATGAATATATGACTTAAAGAGGAGAGACTTACATAGGTGACTGAGGAGAGACTTACATAAGTGACTATAATTGTTCCTTTTATTGGAGGCTGGCATGTGGATTAAGAGATTTCTCTCCAGCAAAACAATATAACACCATAAAAAAGAGGATTAACATTCAAAGGATAACGACAACGTTTAGGAAAAAGAGAATGGGTCAAAATTCATATCATTCTAGGATCACAACACTTCTTCACGAAATCTTCATTGAAAATTCAAACTATTAAAATTTACTAATAAAAATAAAAGGGATGATTGACAGTAGAGGCAGGGAAATGCTTTGAAGCAAATCTCATTACTTAGGAGACCTAAGCTACCTCGAATCTGCCCAGAAATTTAAAGCTCTTGTTTCTTTTAATTTCGTTCAAATTTATCCTTATCGTAATTTGAACCTTGAAAATAAAAAAACCCACTATTCTAGATTTGATCCATTACAACTTGGTATTAGAGCGGAGTTTCTTAAAAAAATGGCAAAAAACACCAAAGTTTCTCAGTTGATAGAAACAGTAGCAGGAATGAAGTAACAATAAGACGCACAACAACAAAATCAATAGAATCAACAACATGTTTTGGAAGATATAGTTCAACAGCCGAGAATCATGTCATCTAAGATGGAACAACTATTTAAGGCTCTAAGAAAATGGTTAATGAATTGACTGCCTACTTCCCCCACGAGATTTGTCAATGGTAATAAGGGGTATAAAGTGGTCCCACATAAAAAGCACCAGCTAATTCAACCTATATCTATTTGATTGAAATTTTCATGATTCAATGGTAAAGACCCGATTGTTTAGGTTTACAAGGCAAACCAATTTTTTAATTTTCACAATACACCACCATCTTATAGGTTATTTATAGCCAATTTTCATATGAAAAGGAAATTAATCTCATGTTATTGAGAATTAAAGGAGACATGAGTGGTTACAAGTTGAGAAACTTTTATAAAAGCTCTTCAGATCTAGTTTGGAAACTTTTATCAAATTTAAGTTTTCTAAAAATTTTTTTTAGGTAATTTGATGCTGTTCAGTTTCAGCTTTCTAAAAATTTTTTTTAGGTAATTTGAACTTTTAGAACTCAAGATATGGATTGAAAACTGAATAGTGTCTGGGCTACGAGACATATTAAGACTTCTATGTTATCGCTAAGATTTAGATTTCCAAACACCAAAATTGAGTCTTGCCTTCCCTGAAAGTTTTAGACCTATATCTTAACTTTCCATCCATATAAAACAGACCTAAATTCAAGTTCTATAACTCTAGTTATGATCTAATTACTGAATATTGTTCTAATTTGGACGAAGAGGCTGTCTGTTTACGTGGCTTCGGCAGCGTTAGTTCTATATCTCTAGTTATGATCCAATTACTGAATATTGTTCTAATTTGGACTAAGAGACTGTCTGTTTACGTGGCTTCGGCAGCGTTTTAATTAAAATGCAGTTTGCAGCCATTTGATAATGAAAAAAAGTAATTTATTATTCATGGGTCCCACGTGATTTTTGCA